CTAGAACCCCATACTATAACCCTGCTTGCTCTCTACCATCTCTACTTTAGCAGTTTTCTGGGGAAAAAAATGCCAGAAGGAGTTTTTAAGTGAAGCATCCATTTGTTTGAAAGACAGATAAGTAAGATATCAGCATGAACAAAGAAATTCGAAAAAATATAAATATAGCCATGAATAAAACACTGACAGTGTTCGAATCTAGAGATACGGTGTCTCCACGAAATTTGGTCAATTTGAAGGCAATGCAAATCCCTGTCTCTTATACACATCTAGATGTGTATAAGAGACAGGAACCAAAGAAGAACCCCAAATATTAAATAACAAAGGTATTTTGTCTACTGAAGGAATTCATTTCTTTCAAAACGAACAGTTGTTTAGTGAATTAAAACAACATGGAATTGGCGATTTAAGTGAGAAAGGGGTAGCAGATTGTTTAATGATACAGGGTGGGACAACAATATATGCTACGCGAGACCAAAACCTAGCTGTCAAAATAATTAAAAGAGGTACATGTAAAATCTATGTAAATCAACTAAAAGCAACAGTAACAAAGGCTACAGGAGAAACCATCATAACTGAAATTCAACAGAAAAGAGATGGACATTTTATTGTGAAAGGAGTTTTTAAAATTATTGGTGCTTACAAATTAGATGTTAGTGTAAACGGTGAACCAATCAAGCATTCTCCTATAATGATATATATACAAAAAGAAGGTTTAGTAAAGACTATAAACGTAGGGAAAAATGTTACTGATGTTTTATGGTGGCAACAAGAGAGTTTCCTATTAGTTGCATTTGAGAAAAACGAAATATATAAGTACAGGCAATCTGGAGAATACATTGGCAAGATAACACTGCCAAAAGGTGTGAGTGTTAATCGAATGTGAAAAGTGAAAAATGGCAACTTAGCACTCAGTGATAATGGTACTGATCAATGCATCAAAATATGTACTATGGAAGGTAATATAGTTAGGAAAATCGGAAAAGGAGTGTTAAAATGTCCATCTGGGGTCGAAGTTAATAGAGCATTTACACATCTTTACGCTACAGGCATCTCCAATACGTGTGTGTACAGGTTTGGTATTGATAGTAATGTGGTCACGGAGATACCAGGTATAAATTTACAACAAAAATGGTACAACTATGTGAGCCTTACAAAAGCTGAAAACTTGCTCGCTTCAAATCATGATAGACTGGAACTGTTTATTAATGACAAGTTTAGTGAAGTGCTTGTAGGAAAACGTAGGGTAAACACACCTTGTGGAGTTGTAGTTGACGATGATGACAATATCATCTTATCAAGTTTTGATAGGTTAGAGCTATTTACTGGTGATGGAACTTTTATCAAAAGAATTGATAAAAAAGAAGATGGAATCAAAATTCCAAAAGGATTAACGATAATTTCGTATTACCCAAGGAGATTTGCTGTCACAAATCAGCATGACAAATCAGTTAAAATATTTGATTACTAAAATTAAAATTGTGATTTTTGATTATGTTATTGTTAAATTTATGACAATAGGTAAGCAAATAAAAATGTAACACAGAATGCTTTTAGCAAAACGGCCTAAATGTTCTCGCTGGAGGCTATATAAATGAAGCAATTGCGTAATTGTGCCGGGCAAAAAGACCATCTGCGGCCCTGATTGTGTTTAACAGGCTGGTTAACACTTAAAATGAGCCTGCCAATTGTTGACCCACAGTAACTTTTTATTTTAAATATCGGCCAAGACATAACAAATGCTTTTACTGAGACTATAGTGTTTTTCAAATACATACTGTATTTATAATCTTTTTAAATATTGTAGATAATAAATGCCAGATAGTTAAGTCATGGGACTAACTATGAACTGCTGACTGACTGTGGAAAGTGACCTACCTGCTGAAGATAAAAGCAAAACATGCACAATTTTATGCAGTCCGATTTCTGTTCCTGACAAAATGTGTCAAGCTTTCCAGAAAGGGAAATGTCTATCCCCGTTTCGAAGGAAGAGGAAGCCTAGACTCGAATTTATAGCACCACCATATCTTATATTGCTTAATCTTAACCTCATGTATGGTAGTTTATCTAATCTTTCCTAGCCAAGGTGACGTGTATAGTGTGCCGTATATAGTATTGTTGAAAGATAATCACGTATTGTTACAAGATAATTATGTAGTGAATAAATAATAATGATGCAGATATTAATATGATATGATTTTGATTTTTTTTTCAGCAAAAAAAAAAAAAAAAGATGAAAAGAGAAATTAAATATAGATTTGTTAAATAAAATTTGATAAATCTGACCAGTAATCTAACTTAAAGGGAAAAAAATGACTTAAGACGAATTTAAGCTGATTTCTAGTTTGATAAATCAGTCTCAGTGCATTATGTATGTTATATTTTATGAAAAAGATTAGCATGTTTTAAATTTTGTATGATTGTATAAAGCCGAATACAATCAAATCGAGTTATTAACGTCAATTAACCGGCTTATGTGAACCAAAATAGCTATCCTAGTTTGATTTTACATGTTTTTATCTCGTAGGTCTACAATTTACTTTTTCGAAATAATATGGAGAAGGCATTTTAAGCACTATTAGTCTTTGAAAACATGATGCAGTCATTTCTAAATTTATGACAAAAAATTATTTCTTGAGATAAAATAACTACAGTATTTTGGCGGCAGTGCCGATATAAAACTACAGTTTTTTTGGCACTCAGGCAGTGACGATAGAAAACAGTAGATTTTTAGCACTGCGGCACAGGGGTGGCACCAAAGGCAGGCCGGGGGCCAGGGCTCCTCTGTCGAGGAGAGCTGCCCTCCCCCTCCCGTCGGGGAGAAAAAGCACAATTCGTCGGGGAGGAAAAAAGAATTATATGTATTTTCTACATTATTTGTACACTCTAAAATCGATTAAGTAAGCCTTTGAAACCCCTAAATTGTCAAAATTTTCGCCCCTAGACCATCTTCGAAACCTTTTAATCGAAACTCGACCACGCCAACTTTGCTTTTGTCGGGTAAATCTGACCTCTCGTCGGGGGCATCGCCCCCCTCGTCGGGGACCTCGGTCCCCGCGTCGGGCAAATCCTGGCGCCACCCCTGCTGCGGCAGTACCGATAGAAAACAACAGCTTTTTTCCGCACTGCAGATAGCCACTATCTTGAAACACAGTCAGTTATCAGTGTCATAAAAAGCGTCTCCAATCCCACATCCATTTTTTATTGGGATTTGTAAAGTTTCCTACGCAAGAAAAGATTATTTTACTATAATGAGCCAGGGGTGGCGCCAGGATTTGTCCGACGGGAGGCCGAGGTCCCCTAGGCGGAGACCGAAGTCCTAGACAGAGAGCCTATGTTCCCAACATGAGCAAAGTGGGCATGGTCGGGTGTTGCTCAAATGCTCAAAATCTTTCGACGGTGGCCTAGAAGAGAAGGCAGAACTTGGTGATAGAGTCGAGTTACTGCCTCCTGTGTTTCAATGATATAAGTCAAAGTTCATATTATTTTCTAATACAAGACAGAGTTGAAGGTAAAATCTAATACAGTATATGCCTATATATTACTATTGAAACTTTTCAATGTAAAATTTCATAGTCTCCGAGAAAGTCTCAAATAATTAAGTTTAGAAGGACACACAAGTTAACCGATTACGCTCCAAGTCATTACATTACACTATGACCAGTCTACGGAAATTAATACGTCAAACTTTGTAAACGGAAATAATAGTCATTACAATGCAAATCCTGGATACTCTATTAGTAGTTGATGAAACTTCAATTTATAACTGTGTAGGCTATAATGTAAAGTGCTGTCTGTCACTAAGATTTTCTCAAAAGAAACAATATATTGTTAATACTCATCCAAGAAGAAGAACTAGAATAAATAGAAAAGGGAAAACAATAAAATCAGAGAAAATAACGCTTGGCTACACCAACGAAAGAGAGAGAGAGAGAGAGAGAGAGAGAGAGAAAAACCCGGTGCCGACGCCTACATTAAATTAACCAATTAGGCCTTTAGATCATACCATTGTATTGTTTTATGCAAATAACGGAAGTTAATACCTCCTACTTTGAAACCTACGGTATTACTAGTATATTATTTAGCTATGACAAGTCAACACGAACATAAAGACTCAAGTTGTAGTTGATGATTCTGTTCAACATTGAATCATCCTTAACCGTAGTAAGCGAGGTAAGCACTTGGTCTTTACTTAAACTCTCAACTTCTTAAAATAAAATTAAAAATGTATGAATTAATAGCTCGAAAACATTGTAAATATTCATTGAACAATGATAAAGTACTAGTAACGGTAATAAAAGATGTATACTCAGTTCATCCTCAAATTCGATACCACCTTTATGACCTGAGTAAGGTAGTCTGAGAGGTTCGGTCGCACTTAGACGGTTAGAATTATGTTAAAATATTAAAGAATGCTTGTTTATACTTCAAATCAGAGGTATTTAGAAAAAGGCATCTCCAGATACTCTCAGAAATAGCAGTATCAACTTTTATAATGTTTTTTCTGAGTGTATGTTTGCCAATAGAAGTTCAATTTTCAATTAATTATATAAAGAATGTTACGTTTCTCCAGAAAATAACATCGGAATATGTAAGACTTTTAGCCAAAAGCAATGTGTTTTACATATAACTACGGTAATGAAATACTCTGCACTATCAAAACAGGCTGAGCGAAGCAATATTCATATATTATTTGTAGTTGTTTATTAAAAAAAAAAGCATTTGGAATTTAAATTTTAATGAATATCTGATAAAGAACGACATATGAACTGGATATGGCAAAATCATAAACAAATTAAGCCAAAATAAAGTAAACAGGACTTGTATCCGTTTCATCATAAATTATTTTCATTCAAACACAAACAGTATTGACTTAGTATCGTGGGAAAAAAATAGGAAAAAAGTAATATGTGAATGAACTAGACTATAAATATGAAAATATTTATTGTTCAATATGGAAGAAAATCTGCCTGTTTTAATACAATAAAATATGTTTGGTTGAATAAATAATTAAAATGAAATAAAATAGACCAATAGTTAATTTCTGATTCCACAACGACTACGAGTGCTTTGAACTATTATAATTGCTTTAGTTAAAAACACAACAGAAGGCTTCATGGGTGAATTAATTTACAATTTAATTTATATTTTAATTTTCATTTACAGGATACATACAAAATGGCTGAAAACAAGAAAGGTCAGTATGATGATGAAGAAAAGTTGCTGGAATGCTCCATTTGCCTCAACAAACTCAAACAGCCTAAAACCTTAAACTGTCTACATAGCTTTTGTATGCAGTGTTTAAGAAGCTTGCTCAAGGAAAAAGATGACTTGATTTGCCCAACATGCCTAAAACCATGTCCCATTCCAGAGGGCGGACTCCTGGAGCTACAACCAAACGCCTTCATTAACAACTTATTAGAAGCATTCGAAATGATTGGGGAAGGAGACAACATGGAATGTAGCTGTGAAAAAGATAAAAAGGCATCACATTATTGCCCGGAATGCAAACAGTACATCTGCTCCACTTGCTTTGACAATCACAAGAGATTTCCCGCTCTTAAAAGTCACAAATTACACTCAATAGAAGATGTGCAATCTATGACACCATTACAGTTTTCATCGTTACATCGCCAACAATGTGCCCTACACAATGAAATTTTGAAGTTCTACTGCAAATGTTGTGAGACTGTAGTATGTATGCACTGTGCAATTACTGACCACTGTGACGGAAATCATAAGCTAATTAGTATACACGAAGCATTCAATGACTTCGAAATGACTGCAATTAAAGTGAAGGAAGCTTCTAATGAATACAATACCATAATGCAAGATGGCCTCAAAAATGCTTTTCATAATGATTCAAAATTATGTAAAAATAAAAAGAATTGCTTGAGAGATATTGAAAATCATGTACAAAAAATGGTTAAAATCATTAAGAAACAAGAAGAACAATTAAAAGAAAAAGTAGAAAAAGAACATGAAAAGAAGAAAAAAGAAAATGATGCCCAAATTCGTAAGTTTAAAGCATCAATATCTGATGTAGAAACAAAAATGAATTTTCTTAGTAAGTTATTGAGAAGTGATGCAGCAACAGCTTTGCAGTCAAATCAAACCATTATTACAGCATTGAAAAAAATAATTCAGCCAGAAACATATGCAATGGATAATAAAGATAAAATGAATAATGCAAAAATTCACTTCTTTCAAAACAAACAATTATTTAGTGAATTATTACAGCAAGAAATTGGAAACGTGAGTGGGAAAAATGTTGCAGGCTGTTTGAGAATAGAGAATGGGACAAAAATATATGCTACAAGAGGCCAAAACCTAGCTGTCAAAATAATTATATCAGATACATGTAAAATAAATGTACATCAACTGAAGGCAACGTTGGCAAAATGTAAAGAAACAAAGGTGATTCACATGATAGAGGAAAGTGATGGAAATTTTGTTATAAAAGAAGTTTTAGATAGTATCGGTGACTACATCTTAGATGTTTGTATTAATGGTGAACCAATCAAACAATCTCCAATGATGATAAATGTAATAAAAGAAGGCTTAGTAAAGACTATCAAAGTAGATAAAAATGTCACTGATGTTGCATGGTGTAAACAAGATAGCTGCTTACTAGTTTCATTTTGCAAAGGTGAAATTTACAAGTATAAGCAATCGGGAGAATACATTGGTAAGATATCACTATCAAAAGGTGTGAGGGTAATTAGAATGTGTATAATGAAAAATGGTAACTTAGCATTCAGTGATGATGGTGATGATCAATGCATCAAAATATGCACAATGAATGGTAATGTAGTTATGAAAATCGGAAAGGGAGTTTTAAATCGTCCATCTGGGGTAGAAGTGAATGACACGTCAACACGAGTTTACGCTACATGTTTTTCCAATTCTTACGTACACATATTTGATATTGATGGTAATGTGATCAATAGACTACAGGGTTTATATTCCGGTAAAATTTGGTGTAATGATGTCTCTCTTACAAAAGCTAGAAAGTTGCTCATATCAAATTGTATTCAGAGTAGACTAGAACAATTTAATACAGAACAGTGCTTGAAGGTGCTTGTAGGGCCAAGTAGAGTTAATGCACCTGGTGGAGTTGCTGTAGATGACGATGACAATATCATTTTATCAAGTATAAACAAGTTGGATCTACTTCGTAGGGATGGTACTTTCATTAAAAGAATTGATAAACAAGAAGATGGAATCAATTGCCCACAGGGAGTAGCAGTAATCTCGTATTATCCAAGGAGAATTGCTGTCACAAACCAGCATGATAAATCAATTAAAATATTTGATTACTAGAATTAAAAACAGTAAATAAGCATGTAAACATAAACAATGGAAGTTATACATATTAAGTACTCTTGAATAGGCCGGGGAAAAAGACCATTACTCTACGGCTTGAAGAGGTGCGATTCCACCGTTGTACATACCTGGAAATAAGCCTGTAAATTGTAGACCACAGTAACAATTATTTTTCTCAAGAATCAGCAGAGATCACTGCATTTGCTGGGCCATGGGATAACTTGAGCGAAATTACACACTATATGAAAAATACTATGCCATAAAAATTGGAATTGCTGGAAATAACAGAATGAGATACAGTCCCAACTCTCTCTAAGACAATTTTTAACCCTGACAAAATGTTTCAAGTTTTATAGACAAGGAAAGGGGCATTCATTCCCGATTTGAAGAAAAGAAGGAGTAGACCCTCTTTAGAGACAGTCGATCTAATTTTCCTTAATATTAACCTCGGGTATGTTGCTTTATGTTCGCTTGACCTATTCTGAGGTGTATATAAAGACAAACTCATAGAGCTACAAGACAGCGTGTAAAAAAAAAAGATGCGTATATGAATATCATTAATAGTGGTAATAATTAGTACATTATTTGACATAAATATATAATTGTATAGCAATAAAAGAACAAAGAAGAAATGTAGAATTGACAATTAAAATTGTATAATATATAATACATTAGATGCTAAGAAATGTTGATGCTATCTGCTTTAATTAATTTAGGATAGATATGTATTTTTTGTATATGTTTAATATTGAAGAAAATGGACGAAAGAGGAAAACAATACTGTATATACGCCCACATAAAATATATGATATATTTTAAATATGCTGTAACAGTTTATTATTTTGTTTATAAAGTATATACAGTATTTTCGCTTATTTACAAACATTTACGTAAGTTAAGTTGCATACCTACTGATGTGAGTACCAAATGTATTTTTGAATGATTTTTACAAATAATTGTGCAAATTGATTAGGGACTTAATTGTTTATTGGATATTTAAGTCACAGAAACAGCCATGAAGATATGAAATTACCTCATTACTTATTGACAGTTACAATGCTTGTTTTTGTTAAGTACCAGTACTTCACTTTCTTTTTACGATGTTTTGACTCTTTGACTTTTTTATCTTTTATTTGCATTTATTTTACTATTTATATTTTATTTAACTTCTTTTAAACGGCATTATCGTTTTACTTCTAAACTTAGTTGTAGGTTAGTTTAAGCGGGTGTTATTGTTTCATTGTATATTGTTATTATTCTTAATTTATCTTTATTTATGGCTTTATGGTATATGATTGACTTTGGCCCCTCTCTATTTTTAACAATCCCATTCGGGCTTCATGAGCGTTCCTCTTTTGTCAGTATTAATTCTTGTCTGTTAATTTAATGTATCTGAATTTGTTTTTGACGAAATAAAGAATTTTTGTATTGTGGAGACAAAGATGAGACATGTGTAGTAAAGAATACATGTTGGTTTTCAATGTCTCTCACATTGGAAAGTGCAACAGGATGTAACAAATAAAATTATATATCTTAAAAACAAAAAATATTATCATTTTCATTAATACTATAATTATAATAATTAATTAAAGTGTGCCAGCACTCACGCGTCGACAACGATGGAATAAATATTCATTTATTTATTTATTTCAATTTTTTTCTTACTTGCAGTTGGTTT